GTAGACCATTTGATAGAAATGGATGTTTCAAAATTTAGGTGGAAGGTTGAATTTAAGAATAAATTGTTTGTAATTCGTTGGAACAGTTGCTGTTTTGTACGCGCCTTTACTAGCTGGTGTATAGTGACTAAAATCAAATTTCAATCGATAGTTACTAAATGTATTNTAAAATTAGTATTTTTTAAAAATTTTTTAAACATTTTTGCAACTTTGAAAATGTTCCGGGCCTCGCCCAGATCTAGGGATCTACACTTTTAATATATGAGTTGTACTGAAGGTATTCCAGCAAAAATTACCTTGCCCCCTCTTACATCCAATAAGTGGGATATTTCGACAGATCCACCCTGGTCTAAAATGCCGGTAAAATATTTTTAAATTTTTTATTTAATTTATCGGACACGATTAAATACGTCTACATTTGCTTTGCTTTTATCACTGCCCTTGACTGAACCTGACCTCTTCTGTTATTTGATCTGACAGTTCAAAATTGACAACCACAGCCTTTCTTCTATAAAATTTCAGTCGTTCTTGTAAATGTAAATGTGAAATTCAAAGCATTAAATTTTAACGGCGTTAAACAACAGCGTATAATCGTCGAATTTTAAATAAACATCGTTTTATTAACGATTACACGCTGTTTCTATTCCACCTATTTGAAACCTCAAGCGGAACACGGTTGCGAAATCCGGTGTATTCCGGTGATTGCCGGTGAGTCTCACTGTTAAAAATGAGCTTGTATGTGGAACTGGCACAGGAAAGTTAATAGTTTTCGGATAAACGGATGACGCGGTGTAAAAAACCGCTCAAAATCAACATTAGTTCGGTTTTTTTCATGCGACTTAACATCGAACAGTTGCAGCGCCATCTAGATGGTCTTGAGAGTGACAATCGACGTTTTCTGCATTACCTCCTTGACGGGAGAGGGACGTAACAAGACTAACAAGTGGCAGGTAGACCATTTGATAGAAATGGATGTTTCAAAATTTAGGTGGAAGGTTGAATTTAAGAATAAATTGTTTGTAATTCGTTGGAACAGTTGCTGTTTTGTACGCGCCTTTACTAGCTGGTGTATAGTGACTAAAATCAAATTTCAATCGATAGTTACTAAATGTATTTAGTTACTAGTGAAGTAAAACAATTAATTATAATTTACATAAGGAAAACGACATTAAACAATTAACTATTTATTAGTATTTACATATATTAAAACGAAAAATTGCATTGTAAGATTTCCACTGCCAAAATTAACAAAAGTGCGCTGATTTTCTTTGTGGGATGTCATTCTAGTAATATTTGCTACTTCAACCGTAAAACAAGCGATAGAAAGGGTATACTTTGCAGTAATCGTAACAAAAATTTTGCTAAGGCATACTGAGCAGGCATTATAGCTAATTTGTTTAATTTTTTTAAAGTTGTACTAGTCTGAATGTAGCCCGAAAACTCATCAAAAGTCGACATTTTCGTTAAATTTTCAGTCGACAAAGTGAGTCTTTTTCCTTCTAGAACATAAAACAAATGTCAACTAGATAGATAGATATTTATTCTTTGAGACATACAAAATGTATTAGAAACGTCATAACTGTTACAAACAAGTTGTTAAAAAAGAAATTACATTTTAACAAATATTTAAACACGTAATATATAAAAAACAAAATATAAAAAAGAGTAAATAAACGCTACAAGTAATGTTTGATTAAGTATAAAAATCTGCGGTACTATATAAGCACTTTTCAACAAGATACAATTTTATATTGAATTTAAAGGCATTTACACTTTTAATATTTTTTATATTTTCTGGCAGATTGTTGAACACTGGCACCAATCCGGCTTGGAGCTTTAAAAGTATTATTCTGTTATAATAATATCCTCGTTTAATAAACATACACCACTTTTAACTTTTATTTTCATCAAGAAAAACACATAACAACGTACTCTCGTAACGTAATTCGTAATACCATTCCATCATAGACCATAGAAAACAATAATCATACTAGTGACAAGTGATACCAACATAACATTTTTCTAACAATTCTTTCATTTTCCTCTTTCGTTAGAATTTTGGACATTTCTGGAGGGTGTCCAACTGATTTGCTTTTCAAATATGGTATTAGTTTCGGAAAATGTCTGCTATTTACATTTTCTTGGCATTCGGTGTACTTTCGAACATGGAATATAGTGATTATAACGTCGAAGGTTTAATTTTATTACTTTTATGTTCGAAAAATGCCAGTAATACAGCTTCGGACACTTTTTGAATTTTCTTCCAACTACACCACCCTCTGAATTCGTTGCAGGCAATCTCGTACTGTCTTGACGATTTTTTGGGGATTAATTGTGAAACAACACTCTGTGCCGCTTCCACTTCCCCTGGTAAATGCTCGTCTTCACTCTCCGAGCTCATTTAGAATTAAACACTCTTATAGCTGTTTTACATTGACAATTTATTGATCAATTAATTCATGAAGTCATTTCATCAAGAAATTGGACAAGTGTAATGCACCAAATCTGCTGTCAAATAACTTCATGAATTTATTCATCAAGTTCTTGACGAATTAGAGCATGTTCTAATTTTCGTCAATTTCTTCGTGAAGTTCGGAAGTACCAACCCAACAGATTTCCACCCTCAGATCAGTAATGAGGTTATGTTATTGGAATATGTAAATAATTGTGTGGCGTCGT